ATTTAGAAAGGGCTGGTGACTAGAAATTTTGTGTGTCCCTTTATGTTTGAAAAGGTTGTTTATTTCTTTTTCTCTATGTAATGTCCTCTTTTGCTTCTTTTCGGCTGACATTAATTTAATTGCAAATCTTCAATATAATAAATAGGCAGAGTACTAGGTACAGATTATGGAAAACGCCCTTCAAACTTACGATGTGAGAGGCAAGTAATGACTTGTGTCAGCACATGTGATACATTTTTTTAACAGAAGTAAAAACCAGGTACTGTGTAAAATATAAGGACATCTGCCTCAGAATTGGGGTTTGGAGTCTTCCCACAGAAGTTGGTGTGTAATTTAAGACAAGAAGAATACATAGGGATAATATGAAAGTAGCCTTTTCTATTCTTGTTAACATTATCATCAAAGTTCTCTACAATCATTGGATTTTGTTCATTTTGAGGGAAGATGCTACTTTTTAAAAATTTTCTAGTATTATGCTCTAATCTATTATTGTTGCTAATAGTAAGTGAAGTAGACTTTTTTCAAAATATAAAAGTAGTAATTTTATTTAGGGAGAAATTTTTTTTGCTGATGTTTTAAAGGAAGTATTGGTAGAATATATAACCTTACTATACTGAGCTTCTGCTTTGCTTGGCCATAGGGTGTTTATATTTAAAGATAAGATGTGTGTGTGTGTGTGTGTGTGTGTGTGTGTGTGTGTGTGTGGTCATATCTCCTGAGGAATTGCTTTCTGGACCAGGAGTTTATAAACTCTTGTATTTCAGAACCAGGTGCTGATGTCTTCTTAGATCTTTGCAGTTTTAGAACTTACAAAAACCCTTATTTCTTTGGGCATTCATATCCTCCAGATACCACATCATGTAACTTTCCTCATTTGCAGATCCCTGAAACATTCTTCTTTTTTTATTGCTCTAGATTTAAGTCTTCCTTTTCACCTCAGCTCCTGCCTCGGTTACTTCTGTGATTCATTCACAGCCTTGGCCTTGCATTTTAGTCATCTTCTCATCTTTGGTGACTGCTGCTGCTTTACTTCACCACTTAGTCTCATGGCCCACAGTCTATTCCTTGTCACTCAGAACTGATTTACTTCTGAAGTTACCAACTCAGGTTGATCACCACACATATTACTTTTTATATTTCCATGTTTCTTAGTCATCTGTTTCCAATATATATTTAACAGAATTTCCAGTCCGTGTGATTTATTTATCTGTCTTTTCTTAAATTTAATTATATCCCTCTTCATCATGTTATCAGTCTTAAGCCTTTCTTTCTCTTGCCCCTGTTCTCTGATTTCTCCCCAACTGCCTTTTTATCAAACCCTGCCTGACAAAACCTCATTCTTCATTTTTCCAGCTGAGCACTATTGGAGAGAATCACTTAGGCAGTAACAAGCACTCTAAGTTTATTGTTACCAACTTCAAATGGGCCCACACAATTGTGCTGAGATTCTTTTTTTTCTAGTCCTCTTACTTTTGTAGAGGTTATTTTAGGCATTCACCACTTTCCTTCTCTCAGAAGATGATTTGGTGGTATTCCATTTCACAGAGAAGATGGAAGTCCTCAAGTGAAACTCCCACAATTTCCTACCAAATACCTAGAAACATTTTTATATCTGCACTCATTCTGCTTTGTTTATTATTGCTGTTTATAGTGGGAAGTTTTGCTTTCAAGGAATGGAAAAATCATACGCCTTTAGAAATCAAGTAGATAATATAAATGTGTGAAGCAGTAGGGTAAGGAGTAGTTCTGTGGCTTGTAGCAAATTGACAAGCACTATTTAAGGACCTCAAACTTGTCTTTAATACAGAATACCTCATTTTATTGTGCCTTGTTTTGTGCTTCACAGATACTGTGTTTTTCATAAGTTGAGGTTTGTGGCAACTCTGCATCCAGCAAGTCTGTTGGCACCATTTTCCCAATAGCACTTGCTCATTTCATGTCTCTGTGTCACATTTTGATAAATCTCACAATATTTCAAAATTTTTAATATAATATTCTAATGGTGATCTGTGATTAGTGATTTTTGATGTTTCTGTTACAATTGTTTTAGGGTGCTACAAAGCCGCCCATATGAGACAGCAGATTTAATTCATAAACATGTATGTTCTCGCTGCTTTACCAACCAGCCCTTCCCTTATTTCTCTCTCCCTCTGGCCTCTCTCCTATTCCCTGACACACAACAATATTGAAATTGAGCCAATTAATAACCTTACAGTGGGCTGTAAATGTTCAAGTGAAAAGAACAGCCTCACAAGTCTTACTTTAAATCAAAAGATGGAAATGATTAAATACATTCAGGAAAGCGTGTCATAAGCTAAGAAAGCTAGGTGAAAAGCTAGACCTCTTGCATCAGACAGTTAGCCAAGTTGTAAATGCAAAGGAAAAGTTCTTGAAGGAAATTTTAAGTGTCACTCAGTGAACGCACAAATGATAAGAAAGAAAAACAGCCTTGTCACAGATATGGAAAAAGTTTTAATGAAATGGATAGAAGATCAAACCATCCACAACATTCCCTTAAGCCAAAGCCTAATCCAGAGCAAGGCCGAAACCATCTACAATTCTGTGGAGGCTGAGAGAGTGAGGAAGCTGCAGAAGAAAGTGCTTGAAGCCAGCAGAGACTGGTTCATCAAGTTTAAGGAAAGAAGCCATCTCTATAACAAAAGTATGAGGTAAAGACAAATTGGCATATGCTGATGTAGAAGATGCAGCAAGATATCCAGAAAATCTAGCTAGAATAATTAATGTTTAGTGGCTACACTAAACAACAAATTTTTTTTTAAAGGTGGTGGTGGAGCAACACATTTTCAGTGTAGATGTAACAGCTTTATATTGGGAGAAGCTGCCATCTAGGACTTGGATAGTTATGGAGAAGTCAATGCCCAGCTTTAAAGCCACAGGGGCAGGCTAACTGTCGGGTTAGGGGCTGATGCAGCCCGTGACTTTAGGTTGAAGCCATTTACCATTCCAGAAATCCTAGGGCCCTTACGAGTCATGCTAAATCCACTCTGCGTATGCTCTATAAATGCAAAAACAAAGCCTAGATGACAGCGTATCTGGTTGCATATTAACACAACATTGTTTCCTAATGTTATAAGCTCATCTTTAACAGCTATTGCTTAGAAAAAAAGATTCCTTGAAAAATGTTACTGCTCACTGATAATGCACTTGATCAACCAAGAGCACTGATGGAGATATACAATATTGTTTTCCTGTGTGCCAACGCAACATTCATCCTGCAGCCCATGGATCAAGAAGGAATTTTGATTTTCAAGTCTCATTATTTAAGATATACAATTCTTAAGGTTATAGCTACCATAAATGGTGATTTCTGTGATGGATCTGTGCAAAGTAAGTAGAAAACCTGGACAGGATTCTAGATGTCATTCAGAACATTCATGATTCATGGGAAGAGGTCAAACTGTCAACATTAGAGCAGTTTGGGAGAAGCACATTCTGCCCCTTGTGGACGACTTTGTGGAGGAAGACTTCAGTGAAGGAAGTAACTGCAGATGTGGTGGAAATAGCAAGAGAACTAGAATTAGAAGTAGAACCTGAAGATGTGACAGAATTGCTGCAATCTCATGGTAAAACTTGAATGGATGGGGTGGTACTTCTCATGGATGAGCAAAAAAAAAAAATTGTTTCTTGAGATAATGATGATGAGAGTATCCTCAACTATGATTCTACAATAAATACTATAGTAAATTTCCATTCTCATGGAAATCATCAGTGTAGGAGAAGAACATACTGCTACACTAAAGTAAAATACACGTATTTAGTTTTTCCATATTACATTTTCAAACAGCCCTTCAATAGAAATTTAGGGAATGACATTTTAAAGTTGTGCTTAAATAGGTTAAAAGAAACACAAACAGTGTCTTACTCATCTTTATATCTACAGTGTCTCGGCCAGGACCAGCCTCATAGAAATAATTCAGTCAGTATTTGTGAAATGAATGTGACCACACTGGTCTGCTACTTAAGAAGGAATGACTTGGGACAGGATATGTTTAACATGGCAGATTCTGGGGTAGAGTTAACGGTGGCTTGCAAGATCTTGTAGATTCAAAGAGGGAAAATAAGTAGGAACTTCGTCCCTGTGCCATGCTTTTCCCCATTTCCCTGTTTATTTATTTCTTAATTTTTTCAAAAGCATTTATTATCATTTTTGCTGTATACCGAGTACTGTGTAAAGTGATGGAGAGCCAGTAGTGGGCAAGACCAAATTTCTGCCCTTAAGATGTTTGCATGATGGCAGTGTATATAGAATATCAATTTGATGGCGTTCTGAAGGAGGCAGATATTCAGGCAGTGAGAACATGTTAGAGGAAGCCTGGTCCATTTGGAGAAATTCCGATCTTCACTGGGGTTGAAGGGTGAAGTGTTGAACGTGAGAAAAGAGACTTGTAAGCAGGGCCAGGTTATCGTTTTAACTTCCCCCTCTCTCTTCCGTAGCTGTTACTCCTTTTTCCTGGTCTGGTGATTGGAGGAAAGATAAGTGTAGAAACATATTCCAGGTGCCACAAAATACCTTTTTTGTTTTTTCCCCAAATACTGCCACTGAAACTTTGTGATTAATCTTTTCAGTAACTGTATTTCACTGTAGATATTTGATGTTCATATGGCTCTTCATCTGTAAACTGTGAACTTCAGAACAGGGACTATGTTTCACTCATTTCCATGTCTTAAGCATCTAATAGTAACTTGGTAAATGCTGAAAAACATCATTTAACATTTGTAGTCATTGTTATGTATAACATAGTTGTGCTTTCTTTTTCCCTATGAAAAACAGAGCCGAAGTTTTGAACAAATGGACTTAAACACCACTCTGGGAGTTTAAGATTACCTGTCTCTTGAGTCGAGAAAAATTACTAAAGAGAAAAATTTCTAAATAGAAAAATTAAGGATTTTTAAAAAAATTAAAAGGACAGAAAAATTCAGTACAGAATTTTGTTAACTGTGGTTACTTTGAAATGTTTTAATATTCTTTTGGTTTATAGTCTTATGAAGAAGATCGAAGAAACTACTGTGAGCTTCAAAATAGATGTCAACGTTTGGCTTTAGAATTAGCAGACACAAAACAGTTAATTCAGCAAGGTGACTACCGTCAAGAGAACTATGATAAAGTCAAGAGGTAAGTAGTTAAGATGGCTACGTTAGTTTTTCTCATTTCTGGCATGCATCAAAGTCACCTGAATTTTTACCATGGACATTGTTAATTCTGCTTTGTACAGTCATATGCCACTTAACGATGGGGATACATTCTGGAGAATTGCATCATTAGACAATTTTGTCATTGTGTGAAGATCTTACAGTGTACTTACACACACTGAGATGGTACAGCCTACTACTGGAATGACATGTGCTGTACTTTTAGACAGCTGGCAGTGCAGCAGGTTCATTCACATCAGCACCACCACAGACATGTAATGCATGGCTCTATGGTGTATGGCTGTGATGTCGTTAGGCAATAGGAGTTTCTTAGCCCATTATAACCTATGGGACCACCATCATCTATGCAGTCTCTCTTTGAGCAAAAGTCATTATTGGGCATAGGAGTCATTATGTGGCATACCTTACTCTTTTTCTGTCTCCGTAGTTTTGACTTTTTCATAATGTCCTATATTTGAAATCATACAGTATAGAGCCTTTTCAGATTGGCTTCTTTTAGTAATATACATTTCAGTTTCTTCCATATATTTTCATGGCTTAATAGCTCATTTCTTTTTAGCACTGAATAATGTTTCACTGTCTAGACATTGGACAGTTTATTTATGCATTCACCTACTGAAGGACATCTTGGTTGCTTCCAAGTTTTAGCAGTTATGAATAAAGCTGCTATAAACATCCATGGGTCAGATTTTGTACAGCCACAGTTTTCAACTTCTTTGGGTAAAAACCAAAGAGTACCGTCATATGGTTGAGAGTATCTTTAGTTCTGTAAGAAACTGCCAAACTATCCCAAAGTGGCTATACTATTTTGCATGTCCACCAGCAATGAATGGGAATTCCTGTTGCCTCACATTTTTGCCAGTGTTTGGAGTTGTCAGTGTTTTGGATTTTGGCCATTATAACTCATTGTTATTTTAATTCACACTTCTCTGATGACATATGATTTGGAACATCCTTTCATATGCTTATTTCCCATCTGTATATCTTCTCTAGTGAGGTATTCTTAAGGTCTTTGGCTCATTTTTTAATTGGGTTGTTTGTTTTCTTACTGTTGAGTTTTAAGAGTTCTTTGTATGCTCTGAATAACAGTCCTTTATCAGATATGTCTTTGGCAAATGTAATCTTCCAGTCCGGGGCTTATCTTTTTATTCTCCTGACGTGTATCTTATTCTTCATTGCGTAAAAGCATGTAGTTTTGGCACTTTGTTGGGTTTACATTGTATTTTTATATCAGTTGTTTTTATTTTGTTTAGAAGTTGCTGCTGTCTTTTAAAATGTAATGTCTTAGAAGATAAGGACCCAGTACAATCCTACCATGACTGACATGCGGTTCGTATTATTATGTAGGTATTGTTATGTCAAAATATAGTAATTATTGGAGCTTGAAATCCATGAGAGCTATACTCCGTGGGCTCTTGAATAAAGCTGGATTTCAAAAGAATCATTTCAAAATGAAGTAGATTGTGGTGGTAAAGTGACACTTTGAGTTGGTGTTTTGATATCCTCTCTGCTACTATAAATCTATAACAATAATACATAAAATATGGAAAGAGAAAACTAAAAAGTGTAATGATCAGAATAATCTAATGGACATGAATGAAGGATAAACGATCCATGTTGTCATGAGTTGATAATTACTGAAGCTGCGTGTTTAATGAACACCCCTGCTCTTACCACCCATCTTTAATAATATGATAATATCCAATAATATCCAAAAATATGGCAGATATCTTCATGTGCTAGAAATGGAACAGAAAAACATACAAGTAAGAGGAGCTCAAACTGAACCCTTTGGTTCACTCAATAGAAAGAATGGATTAAAAAAATGTCCTGGTACAAAAGTACAAGCTAAGTTGGGGTAAAAAAAATCACTTTTATGTTCTTCATAAATTCTCACAAATGTGAAAAAGGAAGCAGGTATATGGATGTTAATTTCATAATTACCAGAAAGAATTCAAATGCTTTTCAGTAGTGGAATGGAAAATAAATTGTGATTTATTTCTACAATGTGATTCTGTCTAGCAGTTAAAAGCATTAAATAAAATAGATCTTAATGTATCTATATGGGTAAATCAAATATAAAGTATAAGTTTTGAAAAACAAAATGCATGTACCTATCTCTCTTTTTTTTAATGACATTTCCCACTTTCTGGCATAACATAATGTTCTCAGGTTTTTTGTGATTTCATTGCCTCAGCCCTGGTTCCATTTAGTGGGGAATACTATTCAGAAATCAAGATTTGGGTGCTGGTCATTGCTACATTGGTGATTGTTTCTAAACGCTTTCCGCAGGCAAAGGTATTGGAGAGGGAACAGGGAGGATGGCTTAACACACTGCGGGAAGATCATACTGCTACCTCTAAGTCCATTTCAGCACCACAGTAGCTAGTTTGAAGGCACTCGAACTAGCCAAATATGGTACAACTTAAATATCAAAATGAATATTAACAATAATGTTGTAATCCATTGAATAAAAAAAGAATCCCTGAGTACATGCTAATAACAAAGGAAGAGGATCTTTGCAGTAGAATGCCAACCAATAAATCTATTTGTATATTAGAATTACCATTTTTTAACTTCATAATACTGTTGAACTCAGAATCATCAATGAAAGCTAAAACCATTGGGTGAAACTATGTTTAAGAACAAAATATACAATTTCAAAGTATGTTCCCACAGATTACTTATTAATTGCAAAGAGCAAAAAGGTACCTTTATAGGTGACAAAGTTACTATCACCAACCAATGAATGAAGTAACATCATGTGTCTCTTTATGTAATCTACTGAAAACACATACATAGTATTCCTGCCCAAAGTGCTTAATGTCAATCTAATCAATGTTGTAAAACAGAGATCCCCAAACTGGTACCAGTCCGTGGCCTGCTAGGAGCCACTGAAAAATTGTCTTCCGTGAAACCGGTCCCTTGTACCAAAAAGGTTGGGGACCACTGTTGTAAAAGACAAAGAAAGTCTGCGGAATGGTTCAGAGTTAAAGGATACTAAAGACACATGACAAATGAAATGCATGGTAATACATTGGGTCCTTGACCAGGGAAAAATTGCCATAAAGGATATTTTGGGAACAACTGACAAAATTTGCCACTGGATTGTATATTTAGATACCACATTAGGACTAAGTCTCCTGAATTTGGTAAGATACTCTGATTATATAAGAGAATGTTGTTACTCTTACAAAATCCAGAGTGAATAGTGATATGGGGACCTAACGTCTGCATATAGCTCTTGAATAGCTGGGGTGAGGGATGCACATGTATGTGTTTGTATATATGTCGGATACATGTATACGTGTGTGTGCATCCATACATATTTATTCACATATATTAACAACAGAATAATTTTGACAATAACATTTAGTAAATAATACAAAGTAAATAAGACAAAAGTGTTAACAATTATTGAGTAAAAGTATGTAAAAAACATAAAAACACTAAATTCATCATTCTACCTAGAGGATGATACAGGAACAGTGAGGAAAATACAGGGAACTTCAAGTTTACTCATAACGTTCTATCTTTTTCTAAGAAACTTTAGTGCAGGTATTGACAAATGTTAACTGTTGTCAACTGTGGATGTCAACTTCATGGGTGTTTTGCTGTAGCATGATTTTATAATTTTACATAAAAACATAGCAAAAGGAGTATGATTATTGCTTTGAGACATTAAAAACATTTCCGTATAAAAACACAAAATACTTAAAGCAATATATACCAAAATAAAATACTGATAGGCATCTTTAGTTGGTGGCTTTATGCATAACTATAATTTTTTAACTTATGCTTTGCTTACTTTTCTCATAAACATAATACTTTGCTAACTAGAAGAAAAAAATCTTTCTAAATGAGTTGTTGAAAATCTAATGAAAAGTAAAACAATTCTTAATGGCCCTCTCCATGGAAATACCAGGAGAGTCGATGAAATAAAGTACAAAGAGACTGTATTCTGATTGTTGAGGGTAAGTTAAGAGCAAGAAATTTATTTCTCTGTTCATTTTTTTAAGAAACCTATTATAGGTTTGGTTCAGTTCTTGGTTGTGGGGGGGAAAGAGCTGGTTTGAATATGGAAATTAGAATTTCTGGGTAATTATAAACAATTTGTGAATGAAAGAGTCACATGAAGCCTGCTTGTGTATCTTCTGTGCAATCAGAGGGATGAGTTAAGGCCTTTTTGACCCCAAATTGAAAGTTAGAACTATGTATTAATTCTTGAAAATTTTTGACTTAAGGTAAGATTGAAGATGATTAATGAAAAGAAACCAGAATGTACTTTTGATAGGATTATTACTTACTTTACTGACCAGTGTAGCTTATATAATTTTTAAAATTATATTTTATTGATTATGCTATCATAGTTGTCCCAATTTTTCCCCCTTTGCACCCCTCCACCCATCACTCCCCCCCCACTCCCTCAGGCAATCCCGACACCATTGCTCATTTTCATGGGTCATGCATATAAATTATTTGGCTACTCCAATTCCTATACTGTACTTTACATCCCCACGGCTATTCTGTAACTACCTATTTGTACTTCTTAATCCCCTCACCTCTTCATCCATTCCCCTACACCCCCCCTCCCATCTGGCAACCATCAAAACACTCTCCATATTCATGATTCTGTCTCCGTTCTTGTTTGCTTAGTTTGATTTTTAGCTCCAATTGTTGATAGATTTGTATTTTTTGCCATTTTATTATGTATATTTTTTTAATCTTTTTTTCTTATGTCTCCTTTCACATTTCCTATAATGGTTTGATGATTATGAGTCCCTTTAGATTCTTCTTGTCTTGGAAGCTCTTTATCTGCTCTTTAATTCTAAATGATAGCTTTGCTGGATAGAGCAATCTTGGCTGTAGGGCCCTGCTTTTCATGACTTTGAATATTTCTTGCCAATCCCTCCTAGCCTACAAAGTTTCTTTTGAGAAATCAGCTGGATGTCTCATGGGAACACTCCTGTAGGTAACTAACTGCTTTTCTCTTGTGGCTTTTAAGATTCTCTCTTTCTCTCTAAACTTTGGCATTTTAATTTGATGTATCTTAGAGTGGGCCTCTTTTCATCCATCTTGTTTGGGACTCTCGGTGCTTCCTAGACTTGAATATCTATTTCCTTCACCAAATTAGAGACATTTTCTTGCATTATTTTTTCAAATAAGATTTCCAATTTCTTGCTCTTCTCTTCTAGCACTCCTGTAATGCAAATGTTGGACAGCTTAAAGTTGTTCCAGAGGCTGCTTACACTATCTTTGTTTTTATGAGTTCTTTTTTTTTCTTCTTGTTCTCACTGGTTGTGTTTTGCTGCCTTATGTACCAAAGCATTGATGTGAATCTCACCTTCATCCATACTACTGGTGTTTCCCTGTAAGTGCTTTTTTATTTCAATTAGAGTATTCTTTATTTCTGACTGGATCTTTTTTTATGTTTCTGAGGTCCTCACTAAGTCCCTTGAGCATCCTTATAACCAGTGTTTTGAGCTCTGCATCTGATAAATTGCTCGTCTCCATTTTGTTTAGTTCTTTCTCTGGAGTTTTGATCTGTTCTTTCATTTGGGCCATGTTTCTTTGTCTCTTCATTTTGGCAGCCTCCGTCTGATTGTTTCTATGTATTAGGTAGAGCTGTTATGGCTCTCTGTCTTGGTAGCATGACCTAATGTAGTAGGCACCCTATAGGGTCCAGTGACACAGCCTCCCCTATCACCCAAGCTGGGTACTCGAGGTGCGCCTTTCGTGTGGGCTGAGGACACCCTCCTGTTGTTGTTGAGCCTTGATTGCTGTTGGCAGGTCACTGGGATGGACTTAGCCAGGCCAGTCAGCTGCATAGACTGGCTGTGACCACGGACAACCAACCTCTGCCTTCCACGGAGGATCAGCTGTGCACGGACAGGGTGGTGGTGCTCTGATATGGTCTGTAGCTGTCCACTGGGCACACAGGCTCTGGGGTTTCCCGGGTGGTGCACGCCAAGGTCAGCCCCCATCTGTGTTCTGCTCAGAGCCACCCTGCCTGAGCTATAAAGCAATCTGAAATGGCTGATACTTGTGCTGGGCTTGGAGATTCCCAGGCAAAGCCAAGCTGTGAATCTATGCTGGCTGCTGCTAGTGCTGGGCCTGGGACCACTTAGCAAGAAGTGCTGGGTGGGGCTCACTGAGGCCAGCTGTTTGTTGTTTGATAGGATTTTAGGAAATTGTGGAGCATGAGCCAAGACCAGCCATTCATATGGAAAAGTCACTGCTAACAGTTGAGTGGGCCTGTAAGTTGGGTGAGATGGAGCCTCAGGGGATCTCCAGGCTGGGGCAAGTAGTGTTAGCCAGGTTGATGGAGTCTCAGATATGGCACTTGCTTGCCAGCTCTTTGGCTCTGTAGGTGGAGATTTGGAAAAGGGACAGTGGCCTCTGCCCACCTTTCTGCCTGGGAGAAAGCTGTCCCTGAGCTCCAGCCTCGATGCAAGACACTTCAGGTCCTCCCTGTATGTCACTGGTGCCTTTCAAGCTGCCACCCCAGTGCTGGAGCTCAGAGGGAGTGAGTCTGATTAAGTCCGTGTATTTCTTTAAGGGGAACTGCTTGGGACTCTAGTAGTTTCTTCCACTGACTCAATCCTTGATGCTTTTTTCAGCCAGAAGTTATGGGGACTTATATGGGGACTGGCACTGGAATCCTGGGATGGGGGGCCTGATGTGGTACTGGGACTCCTTGCTCCTGAGACATCCCTCCTGAATTTTTATCCACCACAGGTGAATATGGGACCAGCCTGTTCCACATCTCCACCCCGCTACCAGGTGGATGGATGTGGTTTCCTTAATTCTGTAGTTGTCAGTCTTTCAATCAACTCGATTTCTGATGGTTCTGATTGATGACTGTTCTATATTTTAGTTGTAATTTTTATGTGGTTGTGCGAGGAGGTGAACCATGTTCACCTATGCTGTCTTGACCGGAATCCTCCATATTTATTTTTTTTAAAGATATTACATTCATATGTGTGTATCTGAACAAGGTCTTGAACAGAGAGTCCTTCTAAATTTGAAAAACAGGTACTCTATTGTTTATGGAATGACACTGAAGGCCCACTGCTACTGTCTGTTCAGTTCCCTGGAATCACGTTTAAAATATTCATTGTAAAAGGGGTAAAAAATTTATATGTGTATTTAAATTTTATTATAGTAAAAACAAATAAATGTATCTGAATTTTTTAGCGAACGTGATACACTTGAACAGGAAGTAACTGAGTTAAGGAGAAAACATGAAATACTTGAAGCCTCTCATACAATTCAAGCTAAAGAAAGAAATGAATTATCAAAAGAGGTAAACTTACTTATAGAATCATTTGTATTTTATTGTACAGTTATTGTGGACATAGGGCAGAATTGTGGGAGGGACATTTTCCTTTTTGGTGTAGCTGCCAGAAAAAAAGGGGGCTTTTAGTGGCTGTTTTTGGATGAAAAATTGCAAGGTAAGAATGAGCCCTTTTTATGTGGTGAGCAAAAGCGCAAATGAAAGAAGACATTGCTCTGAATGCTGTCTCTGTGCATGTGTAGGTAGCAACCTTGCAGCAGACTGTCACTTTACTGCAGAAGGACAAAGAATATCTCAACCGTCAAAACATGGAGCTTAGTGTTCGTTGTGCCCATGAGGAGGACCGCCTTGAAAGACTTCAAGCTCAACTGGAAGAAACCAAAAAGGCTAGAGAAGAGATGTATGAAAAATATGTAGCATCCAGGCAAGATTTGCATTATTTTCCCTATAAAGACATATAAATTAACACCAGCTCCTTTGAGGGAATTCTTGCTTTTGGAGAAAAAGAAGAGATTTTTTGTTAAGGTCTATAGAGTGAGGTTAAGATAATAGTTCATTTTGTTTCCTGATAAGATGTTCTCATTGTAATTGATTTTTTTTAAAAACACTTTTTGGCTTTTCCAGCAGTCAAAAGCTTGTTTCTTTTAGGTATGTTATATACATATACTGTAACTTTTTATTTATATTATTTCTAAGATCTCTATGTAAGTATTTTTGAAGGAAGGTATCTAAGTATCTCTATACAAGTGTCTTTTAGAAGAAAATCTAATCCTGTGGAGCCTGACCACGCTGACCTTTTCCTGACTGTGAAACAAAGAGGAGAATGAGAAGACAGCACTGTATTTAGTTTAAAGATACAGGCTCTGGGCTCAGACTCCTCTGTTTCAATGCCGCCTTCTCTCCCCAACTAGACATACAAGCTATTATAGTACCTTTCTACTAATAGCCCTTATAATGTTTGAGTTACTTATTTTAGCAGTACATCAAAAAGGAAAACAAATCCTATCCTTTTAAGAACTCACACATTCATAACTTTTTCCTGAGCCTGCAGGACTTGTCCGGTTTGTGCTCCTGCTAACGCCCTGCGTAATGTTTCCTGACTTCGCTCTGAGATCACAAGGGCAATAGCTGATGTGCCTCGAAGGAAAAATTTCCTAAAGAGTCAGCTAGAGTCATTTTGCTTTTACATATTTTTTTAATACTGGGTTGGGCAAAAGTAGGTTTACAGTGGTTTATATGGAAAATAATACATTAATTAATAGATAATAATATGAGAATAAATTCTGTGGTGCACATACTCGCAAGTGGAAACCTACCTGCGCCCCGCCCCCCCCCCGTGTTATCTGTCTGTCAGCCTGCAGCACATGATTTGTACTTTTAAATGAAGGGCACCCCGTGTGCGTCAGTTTTCAAATCTTCAGCCGTGCACATTAAAAACTATTAGGAAAATATTTTTGAAAATGAATAATTTTTAAAATGGGTTAACTAACATTTCATCTAGTGATTAAGTCTTAAGGACAGAATGTTTAAAAGGGAATCTTAGGTGGAACTAGTTGAAACAGTATTTTTAAGAATTACAAAGCTTTACATGCAATAACTATGATTTCAAGCAGCATTATATTTAGACCATATTCGACATATTAAAATCTTACATGAAGGGTAAATACTTCTTTCTTTTACAAAAATAATTGATGGTTATTCCTTTTGATTCCTTGCAGAGACCATTATAAAACAGAATATGAAAATAAACTACATGATGAACTGGAACAAATCAAATTGAAAACTAATCAAGAAATTGATCAACTTAGAAGTGCCTCTAGGGAAATGTATGAACGGGAAAACAGGTATTAAAAAAAAAGAAGTATAAAATTTGTGGTATATTTTATTTCTCTTCATTTGAAGCTTATAGGTTCATTGAAATTAAACTTTATTTCTGTGGCATAATGTCTTTTTTAATACATTAAAGAAGATTTGTTATAAGTATAAATAATGGAACTTTAAAGTTTTGAGATGTTTGGTAAGTGGCTTAGAACATGGTGTATCAGACCTTAGGCCTCTTTACTCTGGTATTCCCATTATCTCTTTATTACCCTGGCAACTTGTCTTTTTACCTTTACCTCAGTTCAGATTGAGGACAGAAATGGAAGGAAATTAGAGAGTACTAACAGATGCCAGTAATTCTTCCTGTAACAATGCCTAAAATCTCCAGGAAATTGTTGAAAACTAGAATAGTAATAGGAAGTATTGCATATGCCTCATTTAGCTGCTGGTCCTGAAAGATAGCATGTAACATAACTTTGAAGAAGGATAATTTTTATTCATGCAGTTACTTTCAGATCAATATAGATTAGGTTCCTTAGTGATGGGCAGTATTAGGGGAAAATAAATGCTTATTTCAATGGCATTTATTTTCATATATCATCATTATAGTTCATATGGCTTTTGAAAGTTTATATTTTAGTGTGAAAAATATTTTGAAATTGCTTAACTGTTATACTAGTTTATCAGCATGACTTGAGTATATGATATTTTGATCTTTGCCAACAAGCAAGACTTTAAATCAGACTAATATTAATGTTAGAAAAGTTTACATTTGAGCTTTCACACAATAAACATACTTATTTAGCAAATATTTATTGAGACCCACTGTGCCAGATACATGCTAGATGCCATAGATGCAGGGGTGGCCTCTGCCCTCACAAAGCCAGTCGTCTAACGCAGGGTAAGGACAAAGGAAAAATAAGTATGAAGATGATGGAGAAAACAGCAGGATATGCAGGATGAGACCACATACACAAAGTGTATGTAATCCAGCCTTGGGAGGAGTCAGGGAAGACTCTGTGGAGGGAGAAATATCCAAGCTAACACCTGCATGACGGCCAGAGTTAAAACTCTCTAGGGAAGGGATTGGAGGAATGAATGTATAACATGTATAAAAACCTTGGAGACAAGGACTCATGGACACGGACAACGGTGGGGTCATTGCGGGGGGTGAGGTATAAGGAGGGTAAACGGTAATGAAAAAAACATAAAAATTTTAAAGAAATTTTTAAATGAAGTTTTTTGAGTAAACAATATAATTCAGTATATCTGGAGTGCAGAATGGGGAGCAGGGAGCTGTAAGAGATGAAATGGAAGAGGAAAATGGGTCCAAATCATCTTAGTTTTTATTGTTATTGTTGGTTTTTTTAAAAAATCTTTTAAAATGCATCCCATGGTAATATACATTTAGATAAATGAGCCCCTATTCTCTAAGAAAGTTGGTAGAAGTAGTTGTGAAACAGCTGACAGACCATTTCTGGAACCTGGGAAGCAGGAAGGTTTCCTTTTTCCCCACTCTTCTGACTCCATACCTACCTCAGAATGGACACCACCTAATCAGGAGATTCCTGGGATTGGGCCTCCTGTTCTGGAAGCCCCAGGCAGCCGCAGGCACCAGAACGACCCGGTGGGTTTTGAAGCTGCAGTGGGCAGCTGCCGCAGTGGCGCTAAACTGCACCATGCAGCCGGCTTTGAACTGCATAGGGACTCCTGGCCTGCTAGTTGCATAAGCTTGCCTTTATCAGACGACATTTTATTAATGTCACAATAATCCAACTGTATTTTAGGTGGTTGAATATTTTTGAATAAGCTTCCTAATTCTGGCGGGATTGAACTGTAGTTACAATTTAGGTCCCCTAGTCCTTTACAAGGTCAAAATAAATTGTACATTATTTCTTTTGAAATCTTACAACTTGAAAATAATTAAGGAAAGAATCTTAGTATTCTTCGTTTATAAAACATAAGACTTAGAAAACGCAAGTTTATGCATTTGGATATTTTTATGTCTGGACAAATTAATTACCTGCTTTGGACTTGGATGTTTAATTGTGTCAATTGTATTTTATCAGAGTGTGCTATTACATATGAATTAAATACATGAAATACTTACAATTGCATATTTATGCTTAATCTTACCCCTCCCCCAATAGACATTTTTAGAAGAAAGTTAAATGATTAGACTAGAGAAATATATTTTGCCTTTGGTTTGCTTTCTATACGGAGCATATTAAGAGAGCTTTTTGTTTTCTCTTACATGTGGAAATGAAAGATGAAACTCGTGCCATCCAGTCTTGGTATATACGTCTGCAGTCAGTCATACTTGTGCAGTTAAGGGATTGAGAGGGAAGAGGAAGAAAGTGGAAGAGATAAAGACTTGAGAAAAGGCAGAGATAAGCAAAGAAAGAACTTAGGTATTTGGGTACGTCAGACATAATATATAGCAGCCCCTCCCCTTATTCGCAAGGAATATGTTCCATGACCCCCAGTGTCGGAAACCACAGCTAGCACCAAACCCTTTATGTACCACATGTTTTTTTTCCTATACATACCTCTCGTTTTACTTACAGGAAGCACTTTACAGCTTTTCTTTGGCATATTCAAATTGCCAGCATCACTACTCTTGTGCTTTGGAGCCATGATTAAGTAAAATAAGGGTCACTTTAACACAAGCACTGTTACACTGTAACAACGGATCTGATAACCAAGAAGGCTATTAAGTGACTAAATGGGCAGAGAGCATATACAATGGGGATACACTGGAGAAAGGGATGACTTATATCCCTGGCCAGATGGAGTAGGACAGCATAAAATTTCATCATGGTACCGATGAGAGTGGCATGCATTTTAAAACTTAAGAACTGTTTATTTCTGGAATTTTTCATTTTGTATTTTCAGACCATGATTGACTGTGGGTAACAAACTGTGGAAAAGGAAGGCCTCCTGTAGTTAGATTATAGTATGTATGTCTGTTTTGGCTCAATCTATTCATTGGATTTCTTGTCTTTTTCTGTACCTTATAGTTGCTTTAAAATACCAGTTTGGAGCTGTGGGAAATAAGCAGTCAAACTCACTCTGGTGATGAGATTTATTATATAACTCTTTGCCTAGTAGGTATTATCTAACTAGAATGTACAGACCCCTTTACACATTTGGAGGAAAAGGATTATTCCTTGAATGGACGTGTATTATGAAAGAGATTTGGAGTAAAAAGACTAAACTTAAATTCTGGCTTTACCACGTATTAGTTGAGTGAATATATCAATATCCCTGAAGTTTAATTTCCTCTAATATAAAATGAGCTAATAATACTATCTTTACAGAGTAACTTATAAGGTCTAAATGAGATAATATATGTGAAAAGTACATTTTAAGTTATAGCTATATATATAAATGGTAGATGTTTTGATACCTTTTGCCTATGTGCAGTAGTTAAAAATTCTGTTATCATTGCCTTGACAATTTAAGTAAAGTGAACGTTATATAAAGGTCAACTGATTGCATTATGGAATGGTTTATTATTAAATGGCACTATTACAAAATATGTAATTATTCTTAAGTATTCATCTCCTTAGCATTTAAATCATTTTTTAAATGACTCAATATAGACATTGAGGGTCTGCATGCCATTTTTAATCTAAATTTCTGCATAAAATAGCTAACTATTTATGCCTAATTAATACTGTGAGATAATAAAGTAAGGAGAGATAAATTCAGCTAATTAAGTTTTTCTGAAACTAAAACTACCCTCACCTAAGGTAGTCTCATTTTTGTAAACAGAAAGAACTGTTCTCATAGTGATACTTAAAAATGGTAAGAATGAATTGGTTAGAAATATTCATTATGCTCTTGATGGTGCACAGAATATGGAAGTCCAGATTGCTTTACAATTATTTGTATGAGGGAGAGGCATTAGGGAAAAAGAGATTGAAAATATGCTTTTAAGTGCAATTGGTATTGCTTTAGTGACTTTTATTTTCCCAGCATTTCAATAAAACCATCTTGATCACAATCTATCACCTTCCAAAAGGACTCAAGAAGAAACTAATGACATAAGCTTGAAATTTGTGTAGAATCTTGGAGTGATATTAAACACCTTTGAATCGTGCATCTAAGTTTACTTACAAAGGTTAGTTGGGTATATGGAATGCATTGCAGTAGGTGAACTGGAACTCCAGTGTACAGAGGCTCCATTCATCATTTTAAAAGTGTATATCTCATTAGTGCTTAAGCAAACTTCTTTTCTTCATATCTTACCAGATATCTGTATACTTTTTAAAGTTGTTTTTAGTGGGAGAACTTAAGAATATTCTACTCTGTCTTTTCAGTTATATTATTCTGAAAGTATAACTCTTTCTGTATCTGAACTTCTCAAATAATTGTAAATGAAATTTTGTTAGCTATCTTTTATTGTCAACTATGTTCTTTTTGCCTATAGGCAATTACCTCATGTGTTTAGTGCTTAATTAATAATATTTAAGTATTTCAAGGATCTTAGGGTGTGTCAGATATGAAGCAAAGTGAGTTTGAGCTATGTAAGAGCTTGGATTTGCCTGCATTGTATAGTGCATGGGGGCGGGGAGGACTGGTAAGGTACGAAAGGCCCTATTGTCAATGGGGAATTTGGGTTGGTTTTATAGTGTAAGAGTGACATGATATATTTATTTTTTTTTAAATCGTGATTGCAATGTGGAATGGATTATATATAGTTGAAAAAGGAACAGAGGCAAGGAGATTGGTTAGAAGACAATTGGTTAGTTTAAGTGAAGATGAGAAATGGAGACAAAAAGATCTGAATTTGAAGTATGTTTAGGTAGCAGAATTGGCAAGACCCAGTGATCGACAGGCTACATGAGGAATGACTCCAGCTTTTCTACTTTACTAGTCTCAGAGACATGGATAATCAGACATGGCCATTAACTCAAGGTTGCAGACAAGATTTAGAAAAAAAGGTAACAGTTTCTGACCTTTTACAGATATGGCAGCTCTGACCAAGCCCAAAAGTACTTGTCTAAGATTACATAGT